TGACCTCCCTATCTTTCAGAAACAGATGCAGAGTTAGAGTTGAGCAGCGCATGATTAAGGTTTACAGGAGCGGAACCAAAAGTGTTACTAGTCATGTCACCTGGTCTAGTAATGCATCAATTCTAGGCCACTCTAGAGTTGTAGGCATCAACTCTACCCCATTTCTGAGATGCAAAACCCTGCCTGCTTCTGTTGGGATGCCAGTCAATCACCAAATTTGACTGTTGAAAATGTAAGAGATGACCAGGCTGAGCCGGAGGGAAGGGTCAAACGTGTCATCACTCATGAGTCCCTGCGCACCCAGAAGAGATCTAAGTCCAGTCTAGCTTGAATGCCTTTCTTATCTCCCGCTAATTTCCCTGGACCATTAGTAGTTCAGATTCTTGTAGAGTTGCAATAAATCTTTATACTCATTTGAACTGCCTGAATCTTCTGATTTCCCCGGCACTTGAAAGAAAATGCTGAAGAAAACCACACTAAGACTACAACTCTTCAGGATCGTAGCCACATCTTTGAAGATGAGTGAGGTTACAAAAGATGACTTCTGGTTTATCAACCTGAGCCTGAACGCAGGGGCAAAGAAATGAATAAAACAATGCCATGGCTGGATTTCAGAGGAATGGCAAATACATCCCAAAGAGTTGTGACAAGAAGCTGTTGGGGCTATTATAGCACAGAGATAAAAATACCAGTCCCAGCACAATATTACAGGATTCATAACCAGGTCCCCAAAGAGGATACATCTTGTTCTCATTTTTCTTCTTCTTTCATAATCTCTTTTAATAGAACCAGAAAAAAGGAAACTCATTGCCCCTTATATTTGTTGTATTTTTCTTTCAAGAAGTACATTTCAAGACAGAATGCTGATCATTAGTAGACTTGATATCCAAAATGAAAGAGGGTAAGGTTCAAATGCTCTTCAGCATCTTCAGAGATGTTTCAGAAGAAGGCATGGAAGGGATGCCCATAAAATCTACGACTGACACACAGCCGGGGAGGGAGGGAGGGGAGCCAACATCTCCAAAAGAAAGGCTTGGGGTTCAAAAGGTATTGATAGACTTGAACATTGGGCCCTATCCAACGGAATACTCTTCAGTAGTGAGAAATTTAAGGTTCTGCATTTAGGCAGATAAAACCAGATGTGGAGTTATGGAATAGGTGGTAGCTGGCTTGGAGGTTGCATTCATGAGAAATATCTGTGTGTCTTGGTGGATGCAGATGAAGTGTTAGCTAGCAAAGTGCTGCAGCTGCCAGAAGAGCCCGTTGTGGTTTGGGGCTGCACCAAAGAGATCTACACCATGAAGCTCTAAGGGAGGTGCTATGCTGCACAGGTCAATATTCCACAATATGGAATATTGTTTCAAATTCTGGTTGTCACAATTAACGGATGAACTGGAAAGAGTGCAGAGAAGAACAACAAAAAGCATGAAGGAGGGGGAGATTAGAGACCTTTGGATGAGCTTTATCTCGATTCTCTGGGTGGAAAACCCACTCTGCTTTCAATCCCTTAAAGCTGAATAAGAACATTCATGGCGTCTTATAAGTTGCAATTACATTAATACAAACATTTGCTCTCATTTGCAACTGATTTTTCTATTTATATATGCTTTTGTGTAAGTTGCAGATAATTGCAAAGATCCAAGTGGTCTACTCAAGTTTATATACTTACTAGCTGGATACCCATGCTTCACTATGAAACTATGTGATGGGGCTTGATAAATTGACACAGCTTGAAAATTAATGAGTAGTTACAACCGGCCTCTCTTCTCCTCTTCTCTCCCTCAGCTTTGCCGCACAGAGGCCTCCCCTATCCTATCCCCTTCTCTCCCTCAGCCCTGCCCCATAGAAGTCTCCACTATCCTATCCCCTGGTTACTGCTGTGAAAGTAAAACTGAAAGTGAAACTCCTCTCCTCTGCTTGTGTTTTGCATTTGGAACAGATTTCTTTTCAGGTGGGGAGGAGGAGGAGAACTCCTTAGCATCAGAGCGTGTTAATAATAATATAGGAAATACTAATGCTCTGATGGTCATTTCGAAAAATCCTTTCTTAGTGAGCACCTAGAAGCCAAGAGGAACATACGTGGCAAATTTCAAGTTTGTAGGCTTTACGGTTCTGGAGATTTCATGATTACGATGTGAGTGGTTTTTGCTTTTATATATATGGATTTTAAATTAGCTGTTAGCACCTTCATTTTAACCACCTAATTTGCATTTTTGTTTGAATCTCAGTTGTCATTTACACACAAAACATCACACTGCTTGTTCAGGAGGGATCATCAGCTACAGGTTGGAAGTTGAATTTATCCAACTCTTGGCTTAATTAAGCTGCCTCATGATTTTTGATCCACAACTCAACAAAAGAATCAGACCAGGATCTTCACCTGGGAACTCAGAGATTAGTTTCTCGAAAAGAATGAATGAGAACAATAAATAAGTTCCAAAGAATGTATGAATATCACAACAGGAGAGGAAAAGACTGCATCCTATTTTAAAACCACAGTCTTTTCCCCAGTAAAACATACATTGGAAAGAACCTCTTCAGCTTTTGCTACCTAGTGAACCAAAAATGGAACTGTTCAGATTCCAGAGGGATCTGGAAATTCCAGCCTCAACTTCAGGTCCTCCCCGAATGGTCCCCGACCCATCTGAGCATTAGCAGGCAGCGCGTCTTTAATAGCCATGACCTTGGGTGACTTGGGAGAGAGCCACCTCGCCTTCTGCAACACATTTCCCCTCACTTTGCCCGTTTAACACGTCACTCAAATCACTCCAATAAAACAGCGATCATGCTGAAGGGAAGTCTCGGAGGAGGAGATGACACACCAATTAACAAAGCAGAGAGACAAACTGTTCCAGGCCTCTGACTTGGGAGACAGACAAGGCATGAGGAGAATTGGGTGACTGTGTAAGGAGAGAGAATAAGTGAGACCTCCCTTGTCAACCATAACGGGGCTTTCCCCCCTCCATCACAACCCTGGAAGATCAACCTGTGGTTGTTGGGTTATTACTGTGGGGTGGGGACAGAGGAAGAGGAAGCTCCCTCCCATTTTTCCATCACAATTATGTCTATGGAGATTCTCAGTCAACCAGGTCATGGTAGACCCAAAGGTGCTTCTTCAAAAGGCAACTGGACTTTCTTGAATTGGTAGCAGTGACCAGGCAGAAGTCCAACATGGCATATATGTGGCTCTGGGCTGAGGTTGGTTCTGTCGCCTAATGTGCTGACTTGTATCAGTCGTTTCTTCACTACCATAAGAGCTTCAGATGTGGGAATGCAGATGAAGAGTGAAGTCACATCATAACAAATCAGAGTTTTTTAAACCTTGCTAACAAAGTCCTGTGAATTGTTAATGTGATGGGTGTTGCCAATCAGAGGACCTAATAAGGTGGTTAGATGTTTTGCAATGTTATAAGAGAAGGAGTTGATGCAGCTGACAATTGGTCTGAGTGGAGTTCCCTCTTTGTGGATTTTGGGGAGTCCATATATGCATGGCGTGGAGAAAGTCCAGGAGAAAGCATCTTTGAGACATCCCAGCTATGATATGAGGTAGAACAAGGAGTGCCACGGCCAGGCTAGGAAACCAAAGCCACAGTCAGCCAGAAGCAACAAAACAATTGCTTGGCCACCTGAGGTCCCCTTTCCTAAAGAGTTCCCATATCATAGATGGTCAATGCATCTGAGAGTGGAAGGAAAACCTTCCAAAATGCTTTATGGAGACGAAGGCCTGGGGATATAAGCTCCATCCAGTATGCTAGCAAATCTTCACAAAACAAATACTCTAAATATGAACTTTCACACAAAGCTGGATCCAGCAATTAGTCCTGACCAAGCAATGTTCAAATCCCAGTCAAAGATCTTCCTCTGTCACCCAAAAGCCCCTGCCATATACAGGACATGTCAAAGAAATACAGCCTAGCACTCAGCATTGGGACAAATGGATTTTCTCCATTCCTATTCATTGGTGAATTAAATACCAGGTTTTCATTAAAAAGCCATGCTTAATATAGCCAGGCATAAAAATGCAGGCAAAATGTAAAAGTTCATGAAATCCCTTTAACACTCCCAAAATAAACCACATCACCCAAAGCAAAACATCTATTAAAGAAGAGAAAAAAGTCTGGAGAAAAGTCTGCCTGGACTGATTGGGCTGACCCTGCATTGCAACCAGCCACAATTGCCCAACTCGGATGACAATCATAACTGTTGCCTCTTGACCCCACAAGTCTTGCTTGTACTTGTGAAAAGCCCAAGTGGACAGAGCTGGGGACGGCCTCACTTGTCCCCAAATCAGACTTCAGATAGGAGCCAGGCTGGACCATTTCCCCAGATTCAGTCTCTGATTCACCAACTTGGCATTCAAGGAGGAAGACTGACAAGCAGGCTGCACAGAAATCCTCTGCTGGAAGGGAACCTGAGAGCAAGCAGCCTTAGGCCCCCTCTCTTCCCCATAGGGTGCCAGGGCCTCGCCCTGCCCTATGGCTAAAGAACTGCAGGAGACCTGGAGTCTTTCACATACGCATTTGAAAGCAAAAGGGGATCAGAAAAGCAAATCACCTACAGGAACTGCACAGGAACAGGTCAATGGAGATTCTCAGTCATCCAGGTTCAATTCAGAACTGAAAAAGCTTCTTGGATGAGAAGTGAAATGTCTTCAAGGAAAAACAAAGTCCAGTTGCCTCTTGAAAAAGCCCCTTTGGGACAAGTATGACCTGGATGACTGAGAATCTCCCTAGACATATATCTCAGCAGTGCAACCCAAGACTTGGCAAATCCTCTACAAACCCTCATTCAGATACTTTCTCTTCTTAGAAGAGACCGGGGAGCAACTAAGAATGAAGACCTGGACATCATCACAGAGAAGAACCAGCCTGACGGTTCTTCTCCCAGTCAAAGGCTGATGAAAGGCTCTTTTTTGATAGTTGTTTCATTTGCAGTTCAGAATTAAAGGTGTTATTTTGGAGGGTAAACAACAACAACAAAATAACAGGCAAGACACCCACCTCCATGAAGGAAATTCCTAGACTCCAAACATCAGAATGAATGCCGTACTGTTCTCCGGAAATTCGTTCTGGCTGTTAAAAACAAACAGAGGAAGGGGACAGTTGAACCTAATGAAATGCCAAGAAATAGTAGCATGATAGCCTGTAAATTATGCAAGAAACAAAAACCCGCGTTTCAAACATTCATGAAGTGCCTAAAGGCATTTATTGCCTCCATTTACGGTACTAATTAATACCAGCAAATTTTAATTTTGATTCCCCCTGCTGCTTCGGCAGAATGTGGAGGCTAAGCCGTAGGCCATTATGCACCTGAGAACAGACCCCTCTCCCCTGTGCCTCAGTACCCCCAAGGAAGTGCTTGAAGAGATTCACCTGCATCCCAAAACCCAGAAGCCCGGTGAATGTGAAGCTTAAAGCTGTGAGGTTGTGGCAGGAGCTCTCGGATGCAGATTAACAGAGTTGGAAGGGACCTTGTAGGTCATCTAGTCCAACCCCCCACCCAAGCAGACCCATTTCTGACAGATGACAGTCCAGTCTCTTCTTTGAAAGCTTCCAGTGATGAAGCTCCCACAACTTCTGAAGGCAACTTCTGTTCCTCTGGTTGATTATTCTCACTTGTCAGAAAATTTCTCCTTATTTCCAGGTTGAATCTCTCCTTGGTCAGTTTCCGTCCATTATTCCTTGTCTGGCCTTCGGGTGCTTTGGAAAATAGCTTGAGTCCCTCCTCTCTGGGGCAGCCCCTCAAATATTGGAGCACTGCTATCATGTCTCCCCTGGCCCTTCTCTTCACTAGACTAGCCATGCCCAGTTCCTGCAACCGTTCATTGTATGTTGTAGCCTCCAGTCCCCTCATCATCCTGGTTGCTCTTCTCTGCACTCTTTCTAGAGTCTCAACATCTTTTTTATGGTGTCGTGACCCAAACTGGATGCAGTATTCTAGGTGTGGCCTTACACACTTTAGGAAAGGTGCTCTCATCTCACCCTCTCCTTGTCCTCTGGCATAATGCAGCTTAACATGCTGGGCAAAGATATCTCTGAAGTTACCACTGGAGCAGCACCTGGGTCAGACAAAGCATCCCTTCTGCAACCCTTTCAATCTCAACAACTCAAGAACACCTGTCCTCCATACAGGTACTCCTCAACTGACCGCCATTCATTTAGCAACTGATCAGAGTTACAGTAACGGCCCTGAAACAAAGCGACTTACGACTAACCTTCGGCCACTGTAAGCATCCCCCATGGTCACATGATCAAAATTAATAATCGGCACGTATAGATGATGGTTGTGGCATCTTGGGGTCACTCGATTGCCATTTTGGGACCTTCCCAGCCAGCTTCCAACAAGGAAGTCAACGTGGGAAGCTGGATTCACTTAACAACTGTGTGATTTGCTTAATTAGCTGTGACAAAAATCAAGCACAGCTCACTGAACAGCCACCTTGCTTACCAGTGGAAAATCTGGCCCCAATCGTGCTCATAAGTTGAGGACTGTCTATAACAGTGGTGGCGAACCTTTTAGACACCGAGTGCCCAAACTGCACGTGCATGCATGCCCAAACTGAAAGGTGAGCACGCACGAATGAACGCATGCATGGACATACGCGCACACGCAGCAGAGACCCAAAGACCAGTTGGCGCGTGGGAGGCAGGGCATCCCAACACCAGCAGCGCTGGAAGAGGTAAGATCTTTTTCTGTTTTATTGTTTGCAGAGATACAGAAGCTCACGAAAGAAATGCCACAGAGATCTGACCTGGGGCAACGGTGCGTGTGCCAGCAGAGAAGGCTCTGCATGCCACCTCTGGCATGCGTGTCATAGGTTTGCCATCACAGGCCTATAAAATCTACAACACTCCTGTCGACCAAGGGCTTCTGGGCTCCCATCCCCCCATTCTCTGTCTCTTTGACCAAGTGTGCTCTGGATCAGGGGTCTCCAACCTTGGCAACTTTAAGGCTTGTGGACTTCAACTCCCAGAGTTCCTCAGCCAGCGACACTGTCTTCGCTGGCTGAGGAACTCTGTATTTAAAGAACTTCCCGAGAGGCCCCTAGAAGCAGTATATGAATCCTCCAATTGTATGAGCAACGTCTGCTCAGGTTGCAACCTCATTGTCCCAAAGCTGCTTTTTCAGGAGGCAACTGGACTTTCTGGTTTTTCCTTGAAAGATGTTTTGCTTCTCATCCAAGAAGCTTCTTCAGCTCTGATTGGTTGGTGGGGAATGGAAGGATTGATACTCCTTGCAGACAGCTGGTCATTTGCATCCTTTTGGCGAGTCGTTAAGGCCACCTGGAGGTTTATCTGTGTCCTCAGGGTCACCTGGGTGGTGCAAATGGGTGTGGAGCCTTTTTGGAACTGTTGAAAGGACTGTGTTGTAGATTGGAGACAGATGATGTCGTATCCCTCCCTCTCTGTTAAGAAAAGGCTGTTCAATTTTGACATAGATGGCCTCTTTGACCCCTCTTTCAAACCAGCGGCGCTCTCTGTCCAAATGTGGAAGTCCAGTTGCCTCTTGAAAAAGCACCTTTGGGGCAACCATGACCTGGATGACTGAGAATCTCCATAGATTTAAAGCCTACTTAATTATATGCAGTCTTCAATGACAGTAAAATACATGGAGCCACTCAGAACATCATTCCCCGCCTCCTCCTCCATCTCCTCCCGGACTCCAAGTAGGTGTTGTAACTGCCTGCCTGCATTAAGCAAGCAAGAACCCAGCTTCCTTTTAAATGCTCCAGAGCTAATGTGGACGGCAACCTCACACCAATTACGGGACAGTTTAATACCCTTTGAGTCAGCCAGGGACGCCAAATAGTCAATCACTCCTGAATTTAGACGCCGGGGCTGTGTGCATTGCTGAGGTCAGGTGCGGTGTGAAATGCAACAATAAGACGAGGAGGCAAGAACTTCCTTCCCACTGTGCTGTTAATGCACCTGTCTAGTTGAGGTACCTTGTACAACTCCTCCCAGGCTCCTACAAAGCCCAGAAACCTTTAGAGGAAAACAAATGGGCCCAAATTAGTGACAGTTCAACGTACTCAACAAGTAAGTCCTTGAAGCTGTTAATCCCAGGTCAAGAGCTTTTAGCGCCAAGTAAATGTTAAGTAAAAAACACTGAACAGAAAAGCCTTTAAGTTGTTGCCTTCGAGACGAGAGAGAGGCTTAAACCTCCCGCAAGCAGCCACCTGCAGAGATACCAGAACAGGCCAGGGCGCTCGGGAATGTGAATTCCAATCAGTTTAGGATCTGGATTTGGGTCTCTTCAGGTTCTGCTGAGATCCAGCTGGCAGCCTGTGGGTCCGTCATGACTTCCCTGCTCTCTGTGCCATGAGTCGCAGCTGCTGCCCACTCTCAACCTCCCTGGCTTGCAGCGTCCTCCTCCTCCTCTGCCTACTCCGGTGACCATGATGCTCACTGGAGAAGTCAAAGGCTCATGAGGAGACAGCCTAGCAAGGCCTTCACCAGCCCAGAGCTGGGAAATAACAAACCCGTCTTGCCTGGTCCCTGGATCTCCAAAATCCAGAAAAGCTCTGGTGTTCTTGTTGGACATCTCATCAGCTTTCAGATACTTCTAACCAAAAGAGTTGCCTTGGATCCATGCTCTGTCCTTGCACCTTTCGTGCAAGGCTCAGCATTTTTTGGCACCCTTTGAATTGCTTGCTGCCAGAAGTACAGGTAGTCCTCAACTTACAACAGTTCACTTAGTGATGGTTCAAAGAAACAACATCACTGAAAAAGTGACTTATGACCGTTTTTCTCACACTTACAACCATTGGCAGCATCTCCATGGTCACATGATCAAAATTCAGATGCTTGGCAACTGATTTATGACAATCGCAGCGTCCTGGGGTCACATGATCTCCTTTTATGACCTTCTGACAAGCAAAGTCAATGGGGAAGCCAGGTTCACTTAACAACCGTGTTGCTAACTGAACAACTGCAGTGATTCACTTAACAACTCTGGCAAGAAAGGTCATGAAATGGAACAAAACTCACTTAACAAATGTCTCGCATAGCAACAGAAGTTTTGGGCTCAACTGTGATCATATGTCCGAGGACTATCTGTACAATGATAAGCAAAGAATGATATTGAGGAGCAAGCTTATGTGGCCAATTTCACAGCATTGCGTCTGCAGTCCAGTTGCTTAAACCTCGTTTCCCCCAAAGCCAACCGCTGATACTTTGCTGAAACGGCAGAAGGTTGGCCAAAGCATTTTCAACCTCCTAAACCAGGGGTCTCCAACCTTGGCAACTTTAAGACTTGTGGACTTCAACTTCCAGAATTGCAAAGCTGGCTGAGGAATTCTGGGAGTTGAAGTCCCCAAGTCTTAAAGTTGCCAAGGTTGGAGACCCCTGTCCTAAGCAACGTTTTCAAGTTGCTCACATCCAGGGCAACAGCAGGTCGACTGCCCAACATTTGAGATGTCGCTCGGTAAATGCCTGAAAGCAGCTGCTGCGAGGCATTTGGCACATGGGCTTCCCCTCACTCACGTCTGTAAAAGAACTGCATAAGGAAGCATGTTTTTGAGGTGTGCAGCTCCCTGGACATGTTTCATGAAGGGACTTCTGGTCACAGATGGAGGCCGAGGGCACACTGGAAAGGGTCAGAATAGAGAGCTGGAAGGGACCTTGGAGGGCTTCTAATCTAGCCCCCTGCTGAAGGAGGAGACCCTATACAATTTCAGACAAGCAGCTGTCCAGTCTCTTGTTCAAAGCCTCCACTGATGGAGCACCCACAACTTCTGAAGGCAAGCTGTTCCACTGATTGATTGTTCTCATTGTTAGGAAATTTCTCCTTAATTCCAGATTTGCTTCTCTTCTTGATTACTTTCCATCCATTGTTTCTTGTCTTGCTTTCTGGTGCTTTGGAAAAGAGGCTGACTCCCTCTTCTCTGTGGGAGCCTCTCAAATACTGGAATACCACTATCATGTCCGTCCCCCTAGGTTTGGTTAGGAGCCTCTAAAAGAAGAGAACTCCCAACCAGTCTTGAAGTCTGTATTTTATTCAGTCCCATGTCAGCATTCTGAACTTCTGGTTGGCATGAAGACTCCCAAAAAGTTAGATTTTCCAATCTCAGCCTGATGGCAACAGATGGAATGGGATACATTTTCTGGCTTCCCTGAGTGATATACATGTTTTTTCTTTCAAGATTCAACCCACCTCCCCAAAATAAGAACTTAGATGAAACAAATTATGTTAAACACAAAGGACATTTAAGAATGGAAGAACTGAAGAAACATCTCACATCTTTAATCCTCTGCTTTTTCAATTAGCAGATGGATGTGTCACAGTCATCCATAAACAGTATGAAAAAAGTAATTTCTTTAAGACACACCTGGGAAATGGATGTGTAATCGAGGTTCGTACATTAAAAGAAATAATACAATTTAATTACTACTGCTATTTAAGGCCAACAAGAAGAGGAGATGAGGAAAATGAATGATTTGAAGTCTCTTCTCTTTTGAAGAGGGTGCTTAGTGTTTTGGAGACCAAAGTTAGACCAAGCCCTTCAGCAGAGTGCTTGCCCAGGACAAGGACATTGGAGCTTCTTTATACATTCTACTGCCCTCACTTAAAAATTAAGAAAGAGAGAGACAAAAATCAGAATAAGGTAAGATAGATACAGGTAGTCCTCCACTTACAGCAGTTCATTTAATGACTGTTCAAAGTTACAACATCACTGAAAAAAATGACTTCTACTCATTTTTCACACAACCATTGCAGCATCCTCATGATCACGCGATCAAAATTCAGACAGTTGGCAACTGACTCACATTTATGACTGTCACTGCGTTAAGTGTTTGCCAGCTGAGCTTCCATCCTAAAACTTACGGTAGCCTGGCCAGAAAACTTACCTGTAGCAATAGAGATAAAACTGGTCTTGTGAGACATTGGACTACTGCGCATGTCTACAATTTTTTTTCAAACTTCCTGATCTTTTTCCTTTGTCTGGTAACGATATAGTTAGCTAGTTTTTTTTACTTTTATAATAAAATGTTTCTTAGAATACATTCGGGTTTTCTTTCTTTGAAAGTATACAGCATGGAAAACAAGATCCATTCACCTCTAATTAATTACAGTTTCCCCAGGGGGGAACGAGGCTGATTCACACTTCGACAATGACGTTATGTTGCAGTGTCCTTGGGTCATCAAGCAAAGCAAAGTCAATGGGTAATGGGTAAACTGAATTCACTTAATAACTTAACTAAGTTTACAGCTGCCATGATTCACTTAACAACTGTGGCAAGATAGGTCGTAAAATGGGCCAAAACTCACTTAACAACTGTCTCACTTAGAAGCATAAATTATGGGCTCAATTGTGCTCGTAAGTCAAGGACCCTGTATAGAAACCTTTATCTCAAGACGACCATCAATTGAGATTCTCCATATTCTTGTTTGCATAAGAAGAACCTGGGAAAGATTCCCTCTTTGGGCAGAAAGTAAATAGTAGGAAAGGTCCTGCATGGACTTCATCCCTCCCGTGAAGGTGGTGGCTGCACCTGGTGCATTGATGCCCTCACCTGTTTTTATTCGGAATCACTACTAAGAGTACCTTCGTTAGTTTGCCCAAAGGCCATTTATGACAAAACTTCATTCAGATTGGGATCAAGCATCATATGGTTTTAAGTGCTTTAATAAATAAATCACAGTTATCTGTGTCTGCACAGCACAGTAAGCCACAAACGATGGTGTAGGACCCACACTGCTGTCCAAATTCAAACAATATTCAAGCCACACCAAGAAACCACATAATGGCTTGTTCTAATGTGGAGCTCATAACTTTCTTTCCCTGAAGCATCTTAAACCTTGGCCTGTGTGCCAAAGTAGGAAGAGAGCAGGTTTGATCAGCAGAGAAGAAGAATCAAGCAAGATCACCCCCACATATTGCCTGTCAATTAAGCACCAAGGTAGACCTGTCCTCTTGAGGCTCCAGAACCTGAAGGGTTCACTAGATTAGCCATGGACCTCAGGCGCAGATGGTTCCGATTTAAGGCCCACAATCTCTGCTAGAGGAGCATCAAAGGTTACTGCCACCCCTCTTCAATCAGCCATGTACATGGAACGGAGGCCACATGTGATACCTTTTCAACCTGTCAATTTCTGAAGGCAAGCAAGAACAATCTGCCCTTGGTTTCATGTCATCCCAGAGCACATTATTTCCATAGCGCTTTCCAGCATTATGATGCCTTTCAGAGACGGAAGCAGCTTCCTTAGACCGTTTGGTTAAGGAAAGTTTGGTCAGATGAGTAAGTTTCATGCTATAGCAAAGAACCTTCCCAGGACCTTTATGGATAAAGAACTTTGAACTACCTTGACTTCATTTTGGGGGGCCCATGTTTTTATACACACACACACATACTGTAGCAGAAGAGCTGGGCATTTTATTATTCTTACTTACTTACTTACTTACTTACTTATTTATTTATTTTAGAGGCTGCTGTCATTGTCATAGTGCATGTAGAGAAATTCTGTTTGTGTGCCTTATTTATTACATCCCTTTTCAGCTGTCTGTCTGTCTGTCCCTCCATCCATCTGTCCCTCCATCCATTTCCTCACTTTTCTTTCAACATTCACCCATGGGTGGGGGTCTCCTCTCGTTTTATCCTCCAAAAATAGGATGGCATCAAGGTCTACCAGGATGCTCCAGGGCTGAAAGGAAGCTGCTCTTGATTTTGGGGTGGAGGTGGAGGAATCCGAGTCCAAGAGCTTAATCGTAAATTTCTATGCCATTCTGTTATTTTCATGTATGTGTTATGTATCAAACAGATCTTCCTTACTTGGCAATTGGAGAAATAGTAGAGAAACTAATCAAGAAGACAAAACTGAAGTTTTAATTTAAACCAAAGCATCTTCATAAATTTACTTACTGCCATATATGCATTCGTCCCGACGTAGGTCTTTGCTATGGAATTCACCAGCTGTCAGACAAAACAACTTGTTAGGGCCATATAAAGCACAAATAAAGCAGGTAATTATTCCTCATTTAGCACTAATCATCCTATGTATAAATCAGGAAAAAAATACGTAAAATGGGGAGTGGACAAATTTATCAGCAAAGGCATTAAAATCCAACCCCTTCGCTTCCTTCAAATGAGAATCCTCTTTTAAAATATCTGTAATATTTCAATTTACGGGAAAGAACAAAGGCAACTCTAAAATCTGAAGGAGGAGGCTTGGAGTATTTAGTATCCTACCAAGCAGCTGGATCCATCTATCGGAAAGGGGGTGTATGAAATCCAGCACATTCAAACAGTTCTCCTCCTCCTCCTTCTACTGTCAGCTGAGCCCAAGATGTGAATAAAGCCACCTTGATTATCAGGCTGGAATGAACACTAAATATGCTGAGGGACAACAGATTCTGACAACCTATAATGCAGCCGTGACCTGGTCCTCATGTTTGGCTGGAAGGAAAGGTGGCTGCAATTCAATTCAACATCGCGGCGAGCGTGAGGGTCAGTTTCACGCGAGATTCTCAGGGGAAGCCCCAAATGGAAATTAATTAAAATTTGTGCTGCACATTGTTAAAGCCCACCACCATTGTTGATCCCAATATTAATTTTTACTATGGGCCAGTCGGTCTCCCCAGACACCCCTCTCGTTCTGCCCTTCCTTTTGTTTGGTCCAAGCGCTTTCAGAGGCAAGCTGCATATCAATGAAGTTGGCTATTGGTAAGTAGTAATTACAATATCAGCAGTTTTTACTGTCATGAAACAATGAACAATCATATTCTGATGAAGAAAAGTCACCAGGAGATTAAAAAAGAGGGATTGTTATGTTCCCAGCAGAGGAAGCTCTTGGAGGGGAGTCCATTTGTCTCCTTGCCAGTTTGGAAAGCAGAATTAAGAGGACAGGACAACTAAGGAACGCAGAGACGTACCTGGGTGCTCACTCCAAAGTCACATAACTTGACCTGGCCTCTGGTGTTCACCAACATATTAGAGGGCTTCACATCTGTGTTGGAAGAAGCAACAACAAAGGCAGGATAAATCCAGAGAGCATTGATTTAATAGCAAATACAGCTGATGGCCAGCTAAAAGAAATATGAGTCTGTGCAAAAATGTAATTTGAGAAAGCATCTCAGACTTGACCCTCCATAGCTCTCAGAAAGGTAAGAGAGAGGGATGGGGGAAGCCCGTTCAGTCTTGCAACCTTCTCTTACTCTAAAGTTATCATAAAAATAATATTAGCTTGGGTGGTTTCCTTGCTTGGCCTACTATGGAGGACTTGTATAAGGTCAAAAGGAGGGGCAGAGGCCAAGAGTGGTCCATTAAGAAGCTGAGGGTAGGTAGGGCTCTGCAGGCAGGAAGGACATCAACTCACCTAGAGTAAGAATCTCCTAAAGAAACCCAGAAAGGGACAAGACGGAGTATGGCTATAAGATTTAAGCAATAGGAGGGAGGGAGCGTCCCATCCCCGAGGGAGATACACCTGGTGGGACCCAGAAGAATGGCCTTCTCTACAGTGGTCCCCTCTCTCTGGAACATCATCCCCACAGAGCTAAGAATGGTCCCCACTCTAATACTCTTCCGGAAGGTGTTGAAGCCTGGGGAACGCAGAGAGGGATGGAGCCCATTAAATGGCTTGTGTGAGGTGCTGTTGCTGGGGCGGGGCATGATTTTAGTATATTATTATATGACTCTTCTTTTATTAGCTTTATTGTTTTTATATGGGGGTTTGACATTCTGTAAGCTGCCTTGAGTCGCCATGTGTGAATAGGTGGCAATATAAATTCCCCAAATAAATAAATATGGAGGCACATCGAAAAGTAATCTTCTAATTTCCGCCGTGCTCTCAAGACCTTATTTCAACAGGCTGGCGTGGCCTAACTTCCTTTTAACTGTTAATTTTAAATTTGTTTTAAAATAATAGGGGTGTTTTAATTTGTTTGGGCCAAATTTTTTAATGTGTTTTTATACTGTTTTTTAAAGTTTGTATTATGTGTATTTTATCTTTTGGCTGTTCACCACCCTGAGTCCTTTGGGAGTAGGGCGGTATATAAATCCAATTATAAAATAAAATAAAAAATAAAATAAAATTACTAGTGAAAAATGAAGAACTTTTGTGAATAGATCTGGAGATGATGATGTGGTCCAGCCAAAGCTTCAAAAAAATCTAGTTATTGATGGTTACTATATTATTATATGGTTATTGATGGTGTCTGAACTGAAAAAAGAGTCCTTCCTTTACAAGGAGACACCCAGTTGGAGTGAGGAATCTGAGAAGCATGAACTTTTTGAGAGCCTGAAATGGTCAAAGTGGAAATGAAATGTACCAAGTTGGAGATCTTAGGAATAAATGGACTGGAATGGGCCATTTAAAGTCAGATGACTACAAGATATACTATTCAGGGCATGAGTCCATAGAAAGGAACGAAGCAGCGATGAAAATGAAAAAGGATTTCAGCAAATATGTGTTCATCTATAATCCAATAAACAACAAGAACATATTTCCCCGAATTAGCGGTTATCAAGTGAACATCAATGTTATACAAATCTATGCACCTACAAAATGAAGGAAGACCCTGAGCAATTCCATGGCAAATTATAGGAGGTGTTAGATGCAACATCAGGAAGGGAGATAATTCTACTAATGGGTAATTGGAATGCATCAACTGGAGAAATGAAGAAACCTATAATTACAGGGAGAAATCAATTTAGTAAATACAATTACATGAAAAGTGGGTTAATAATTTTGCAAAAAAGAATTCTTTATTGCTGGCAAACACCTGCTTCAAATACTATAAACAGAGATGCCATAGCTGGATATGACCAGAAGGATGACATCAGAATGGAATAGATGACAGAACAGGAAACGGAAGGGCAATCCAGCCAGCTGAAATTTTATCAAGTGAGATTGTGGGACAGACCTTGAATTTTTGGTGTGAAATACAGGTAGTTCTCGACTTACGACCACAATGGAGCCCAAATTTTCTGTTGCTAAGTGAGACATATGTTAAGTGAGCTTTGCCCCATTTTACAACCTTTCTTGCCAGAGTTATTAAGTGAATCATTGTAGTTGTTAGTAACACTGCTGTTAAGAGAAATCTATCTTCCCCGTTGGTTTTGCTTGCCAGAAGGTCGTAAAATGTGAGTCAGTTGCCAAACGTCCGAATTTTGATCACGTGACCATGGGGCTGCTACAACAGTTGTAAGTATCATAAGTTACTTTTTTCATTGCCATTGTAACTTCAGACAGTCACTAAATGAACCATTGTAAGTTGAGGACTACCTGTATAACAATTAACATGAAAAATGTAACAGACTAAATACGTCAGTGAAATATGATTTGAATGGGATCGATGGAAGGGACAGTTCAATCTGCCCATCTGCTTACAAAGAGGAACCAGGAAATCAGTGTAGAAAATCTGTGGCTGAAGGGAAGAATTTCCCAGCCTTTGAAAGAGGAGGAGACCCAAAGAGCTTTCAGAATGATCCAGGGAAAAGCAAAGGATGAAAAGGTGGGTAACAAGAAAGATGTATGATCGCTTAACTCAGCTTTCTAACAGGGAAGATGTCACCGTCAAAGTTCCTTAAAGGTCAAACCAAAATTTACTGATATAGTGTGAATATTAAGGATCCCACTTTGAGTTCCTGGAGGAAATATGGAATATAAATCTAAAAAATGAGCAAAATAAGCTTTATGAAGGAAGAAAGCTTGCCTTGCCTTCTCCTCCTGAGCTATTTTTACCAGACAATGAAATAAATGTCACACTGGCGCTTTTTCCTTGCCATTATGCGAACTGTCAAACAAGATTCAAGCCATCTATTACAAAAACATACAGACTGCTTTATTTAGAAAACAAAATGTATTCTCTCCAAAATCATCTTTTAAAAACCAGACTCTCTTCATCTTGTGTGTGCAAGGAGGGGCGTGCAAAATATTTCACCCTGAAACGTTTCAAGCGTGAAACTCTGCAACCATCCTACCTTGAGCAGCCTCGAAGTGTTTTGAGCTGAAAAGCTGTGGCATTTCCTGGACGTTTTGCATTTGAAGCAATTCAAAATGAAATGTTTTGCACACCCCACCAGTGCAGTACCGAATTCGAGTTGGAGAAATCTGTACAATACAATCCCCAGTGAGAAATGCAAATTTCCAAGAGCTCATTAGAACTAGCAACACAAGGGTTTTTTTCCCTTTCCCCAGGGTGTCAAGATTGCTGCCTTGGATCCTGCTTTTTCTAGAGATGGCTAAAATGCAAGGCACATACAATCTCTTCCACACGTTAGGTGGTTCTCCCTCTTCTTGGCAAAATGTTCTACAATGAATGTATTTCACTTCCACGGTGCCAAAACCTACATGTTTTAGCAGCTGATGGAAATAGAATGGATTCCCTATGAAAAAGCAACCCTCAGCAAAAAAAAATCTGGAGGTCCCCAACCTCCAACCCCCGGGTCCATGGACCAGCACCCGTCCGCAGCATGCCAGTAACCAGGCCGTGCAAATAAGCCAAGTTCCGTCCACGGGATGCTGGCAGCACACAAAACCACGCCCCCTCCGGGATGCGGAAGGAATCAGTCCCTGCTGGCCAAAAGATTGGGGCCCACTTCACTAGGCCATTTGATAAGGTATAGGAAGTAAGTGGAGACTCTGACAAAAGATCATACACACACACACGGAAAGAAGTCTAGCAAGGTAAGGAAGCAAAGAGAAGAAGGTCTGTATCAGAAAAGCTTCAGGAAGATGCCAGGTGACAAAAGCAAACAGTGCAGAGAAGAGCAGCGAAGATGGCTAGGGGACTGAAGAACGGTTGCTGGAATTCGGTATGTCTACTTTGATGAAAAGAAGGACTAGGGGTGACATGGTAGCAGGGCTCCAATATCTCAGGCGCAGCAAAGAAGAACGAAGAAGAGGGGGGGTCAAGCTATTCTCCAAAGCACCTGAGGGCAGGACAAGAAGCAATGGATGGAAATGTCAGGGTTCCAAGTAACACATCCCATTTAATAAGAACTCTGAGGCAGGCAAATTCCTCAAAGAACATTTTATTGGGACGTATCAAATTGGCATGCTCCTGATGATTAAGGAGAATTAAGGAGAGAAGCAACCTAGAACTTGTGGAACAACTTACCTCCAGAAGTTGTGAATTCTCCAGCACTGGATGTTTTTAAGAAGAAATTGGACAACCATTTGTCTGAAATGGTATAGGGTTTCCTGCCTGAGCAGGGGGTTGGACTAGATGACTTCCAAAGTCCCTTCCAACTTTGTTATTATTATCTATTATTATTTAATGGGCTAATATTGAATATTCCAAATACATGAAAAAGTGAAACCTCATAAAAGTACTACCTCATAAAATGTTCAGTGTATATTCAGTGCAGAACATTTTGCCAAGAAGAGAGAGGACCATCGAACTTGAGCAAGGGATTATATCTGCCTTGCAGTTTAGCTATCTCTCTAGAGAAAACTTACTTTGAAACAGTGGTGGAATTCAAATTTTTTTTACTACTGGTTCTGTGGGCGTGGTGGGCATGGCTTGGTGGGCGTGGCAGGGGAAGGATATTGCAAAATCCCCATTCCCTCCCCACTCCTGGGGGAAGGATATTGCAAAATCTCCATTCCCACCCCACTCTGGGGCCAGCCAGAGATGGTATTTGCCGGTTCTCTGAAGTACTCAAAATTTCCGTTACTGGTTTTCCAAAACTGGTCAGAATCTGCTGGATTTCACCCTTGCTTTGAAACCTTACTTTGTTCTGACTCTCAACTCAGTCTTCACAGACCTTCACTGAGGCAAAGAATAAAGGTAAAAGAGATAAAAGATGGGTTTTACTCCGTTAGTCATTGCTGACTCTAAGGGAAGGGTGCTCATCTCTGTTTCAAGGCCGCTGAGCCAGTGCTGCCCAAAGACCTTTCCGTGGTCATGGGGCCAGCATGACATCATGGAACGCTGTTAAAGAGTCAAAGAATGGGTTGTCTTAAGTTCCAGCATAAGCTGGTTAATTTTAAAATCTCAAAATTCCTTTCCTGAAATTAAGTCTGAATTGTGACATTCAGCTGAAACATAAAAGAACAAACATGCAACTCACCTCTATGTAGAATTTTTAAGCTCCATAAATAAGTAAGTCCTTTAACAACCTACAAATTAGGGGGGGAAAGAAATGGGTCAATATATTTAATACATAACATGGAGATGCATATTTTCATTTTCAAGAGCTAGGACTGAAAGCTATTTAGTGTTGCAAAAATTACACATGAAAGTAAATAAAACGGCGACCGTCTTATTTCCACTGAGTTGGCTGGGTCAGGATTCGGCAGAGAGTAAATCTGCTTTTCCCTTTGAGGATCCTCTCCATTCTTACCCCCTTGGTGTAGCTAAGTCTTTCTAGGCTGTTGGCCAAAGTCAAAACGGTTTAGAAGAAGGCAAGAGAAAGAATTCTTCCCTGGAATTTTTTCACCCAAGTATTTTCTCTTGCCTTCTTCCAAACTTTTTGACTTGTCCATGAAGTTCAACGGGAGTTGAGCTTTAGTCAAAGCAGCATTTCTCTTTTTTCCTCTTGGAATCTAGAAACCGCCAGCAGTATCTTGCAATAAACTTAGCTATGAGAATAAATCTTCACTTATTTTAAAAAAATGGCCACCATCTATAGACTTTATGATGGAAAGCAACCAGTCTTACGTTTTCAGACCGAGTTTGCAAATATTTCATTATTAGAGAGACAGAGACATAGGATGTTATTGGGGGAAACAGGGATACTACATAACAAAGAGTGCCTTTGTTTTTTATTGCATAATACCGCAGCAACATGTCAGCTCACCTACTGCAGCATTTTCTTTTTATTACAAAGAGTGGCACCATCTGCATGGCTTTGCAATGATGGATTTTTAACATTAAATGTAAGAATGCTATCAAGGTAAAGAACAGAACCCCCACATGTAGGAATGCACAGACTCCTTTAGAGGTTGGATGTATCTGTTGAATGAATGGCTATAAAAAGTGCCCTGTTAACTAAATAATAGAGTGATTTTCATTTCTGTGTTTAAGACTGCTTTATAAGTACAGGTCCAAAGATCTCCCACAGCCTCTCATGCATCGATCAGACATCTCACTATTCATTTACACTAAACAAAAGGACATTTTCCAATCTGGGGCACGCACACAAAGTATTAAGCTTTCAGCTGTTAAAGAGATGCCAGCAGAGAACAGCTTTTCACTAGATACTCCAGAAGCCATTGGAGGAACTCGGTAAATAGTAGGTTAGATAACAATGACTTGACAGAGCCTTGACACAGGCAGTTGTTATACCTGCCATCCATCACTCGTTTTTGTGAGAGTTTAAGGACACATCCGAAGGGGGAGGGGGAGAAAGAACCTACAATCAACATTAGCACTTCAAATACAGGGCAAAGTGTCTCTACATCAAGAACAGAAAGGAAAATAAATGGGTAAAATGGCAAGCAAAACCCAAATCCACATTAATTTAGGCAAGATACTGATGGGAGATGCTTAGAACTGGCCCTTCTCTGCTGTCTTTCCTCACTGTAGCAAACACACAAAGAAAGAAAGAAAGAGAGAAGGCATATTCAGACTTTTAGTTATATTTTGTGGTAGGGTGACTGCAATATAGGGTAGGGTAGGGTAGGGTAGGGTAGGGTAGGGTAGGGTAGGGTAGAGTAGAGTAGAGTAGAGTAGAGTAGAGTAGAGTAGAATAGAATAGAATAGAATAGAATAGAATAGAATAGAATAGAATAGAATAGAGAAATTAGAATAGAACAGAACAGAATAGAATAAAAGAAATAGAATAGAGAAATTAGAATAGAATAGAATAGAGAAATTAGAATAAATAGAATAGAATAGAGAAATTAGATTAGAATAGAATAGAATAGAATAGAATAGAATAGAATGAATAGAATAGAATAGAATAGAATAGAACAGAACAGAACAGAACAGAACAGAACAGAACTGTTCTGAGAATAGAATATAGAACAGAACAGGTTTATTGGCCAAGTGTAATTAGACATACAAGGATTTTTTCTCTGGCGCATAAGCTCTCAGTCTTTATGCATAACAACAAAGTACCGGTAATAATAATCATAATATCAAAGTAATAATAATCACAATAATGATACCAGTAAGAGAAGGTAGTGGAACAGATGAGAAGAATACTAGTAATGCAGCCTACTACGTGGGTAAATATCCTTAGACATAATACAGCACTGTGGGAATTAGGTGTTCAGCAGAGTGATGGCACAAAGAAAAAACCCGTCCTTGTGTCTGCTTGTTTTGGGATGTAATGCCCTATAGCAGCATCCCGAGGGGCGGAGTTTGAACAGTTTATGTCCAGAATATGAGGGGTTTGTACCAGTGGTGGTATTCAGCCGGTTCTATCCGGTTAGGACGAACCGGTAGTGGCGGCTGCGGGAGGCTCCGCCCACCCTCCCGGATGTCATCACGTCCTGTTTCTGATGCTCTGCGCATGCGCAGAGGTGGTGCAGGCGCTCGCATTTGCAAACTGGTAGTGAAGGTAAGTGAATACCACCTTCACTTACATATTGTACGTATGTACATATTTTCTCAGCTCCCTTTCTGACCCGTGCAGTATACACATCCTCAATGGAAATCAGGCTGGTTGCAATTGTTTTTTCTGCAGGGACCTAACTATCTGTTGGTGTCAGGTGTGCCTCCTTTCAGTACTCAAGAAAGAAACACCCCGACTCCATTTTCATAGAGAAAGGTACTTTTAGTGAGTATGAACTGAATGCAACCAAAGAAAAGCAAGGTCTGAGGCAATAGGCATGAAAATCACATATAGAAAGCATCCTTGAAACCCCCCCCACAATCGTCCAGTCAGGATTATCCAATCCACATCCCCCCAAGAGGTCACGTGGGGTGCAGCTTCCGATGGCTCCATCCTCCTGGTATACAGTTATATAATTCTTTTAATAATTTTAAATTTTGTATTGGTATGTGTTTTAGTTCTGGCTGTGCACCGTCCTGAGTCCACTAGGAGAAGGGCGGGATATAAATTGAATAAAATAAATAAAATAAAATAAAATACCACGACAGTTGACCTTGACTGGTTATCAGCGCGCCTCCCAGCTGCAGAGAAACGCTGAGGAAAAGTTTCTCCAATTTACTCCACCAGCTCACTTCCCCCCGCCCCAAGACATCCAGACAGCTCCCCCCTTCCCCCCTTACAATGGCAGCCGAGCAAGCAAGCAATATAAAGGCGGAGGCTGACAGTTGGAGTCTGTACCTGTCCTGTTTGATAGCTGTACCAAACCAGACAGTTATAAAAGTACAGATGACAGACTCTAAAGCAAGTACAAATGAAGGACTCAAAAGCAACTGGAAAAGTTCTTAGACTAAAATAAACCTAAAGTAAATATAGTTTAGAATTCCTGGATTCTCTTAGCATTCTCTTCCCGGATCTGTTTGCCAAAATCTCTCTCACCAATATGCTGTTCACAGGTGGGGGTGGGGGTGGGTGGGAAGAGAGGATTAAACTGTCCCACTCAGCCTCTGTCTCTGTCACCACAGCAACTGGTTGGTGCTTCTATCTTAAGAGTCAGATAGTCCTGGCTATTTCATACACCCTTATTCTGAGTCCATGTTTTAAGATTTGGATGTGTGAGAGCCATCCCTTTAAAGTCAATTTGTCAAACAGGGAGCCAATTCATTGCACAGTCTTTGGCACACTAGGAATTCTTTGCCTGTAAAACATTTAAAAGACGCCACCTGAAATTCTATCTTGTCAGGGTGCACATAATCCCAAGAAGTAGAAAGTCTTTTTAGTCAAATGAAAGTTACAGGCGTAATTATTTAGTAAGTTGCAAATTATCCCAACAGGAAAATGAAACACTTTTCAGCTCGCTGAAACAGGCCACGTGAAAATCCCCAGGCTCTCCCACACCACACAAGAAACCACATTGGGCTCAAAAGTAAAGCCATTTGGAACTGTTCCAGAGGGAGCACATCTGATGAAAAGATGCTCTTTGCGCATGCATCTGAAGTGCAGAGGATGAAGCCGAGCTGTGAATTACAATGAAAGTGGACTAAATAGCTGTCTGCGTTAGATTAAAGGGTTTCAGTTGTCAGCTTGATGTATAATGAGTGTGGAAAACAGGAATTTAATTAAGTAGTGCATTACAGAATAACTCTGATATGCTTTAAACCACTTAAATGATCAAAGCCTGCCTCCGATTTAGCCATTGTGCAGCAATCCTCTTCTCTCAACGGTCAACTGGGCGTCCGTTCCGTTGGCCTTTATTCAGCTTCCAAAGATTATGGTGCGTTCCTTCCAATTTGGTCAATTCTGCTTAAGCAGCCCCTGCAGCGTGTGCAAAGGCACACAGGCAGAATCAGAGCACTTTGCTCTCTTTACCCCAGAAAATACAAAGAGTCTTGTGGCATCTTGAAGATGATTACAGTGTAGGCTTCTCTGAATTCAAATACTTTCGTCATGTGTTTTTATTCAAGTGAACCTTAATCCATGCTGCAATCAATCGGTTTGCTTTCCAAGTATTATAAGAGTCTCTCATTTCCCCCCTTTTTCTTCCTTGTTCCCCTCCCCTCCCCCAATTGCTTCTACTGCACCTGCACACTTCATTTGGCAACTTCATGATTGTGATTGAGCAATTCCACATTTATTAAATGTTTCAAGAACGGATATACCCCACCCGAGGTACTCACAGCTACAGCTATTCTTCCCAAGACGTGCTCTGGAATTTTTCTGTAGACATCTAAGGAGCCCCCTGCAGGGAGAACAAAATATGATCAGCTAAAGCTAAACTGGCCTTCTCTAAAAATGTCACCTCGATCAGGGTTCGCCAAACTTGGCAACTTTAAGACTCGTGAACTCCCAGAATTCCCCAGCCAGCACGACCTAGATGACTGGGTGCCCACTTTGCTGTCCAACCAATTGGTGAGGAATCTGTAGCTGGTTTGCTCAAGAAATTTATCCTGAGGTGAAAGTGCCAAGTAAAGCAATCTTTAAGATTGTCATTACAAAAACCCAATAACCCTTTAACTGCCATTCCAACCCACAAGAAACATGTAGGACCAAAGAAACAACTTAGAAGGAAAATCTGTATTGGTGACTAAAGCTATTAAGATGAAGGAACAGCTGTTTTGTCAGTTAATACAGATTGCATGGAATTGGAAAATATTAAATCACATATAAACCACCATTTATTATCTACCATATATAAATTTTCAATAAAAGTTTGTGCAACTCTATTCAAGAAAACAGCACCAAGAAATAACTCTTGCTTGCCTGATGCATTGAGCCTTGCGAATGTTATTATCAAAATACCCCTTTTTTTAGGATTTGCTTCATGGTTCTAAGGTATAGTAAACCAATATTCTTCAACCAATTCCTTTTTTCCAATTCCTTTTTTTAAACTATGGTCCTTCACCAATGTTATAGTATTTCACTTACCATCCATAAATTCAGTACAAAGGGAAATCCGATTTTCTACAAAAAAAGCACCATAAAATCCTATGATGTAGGATGAATCGCACTGTAAAAAGAAGAAATAGCAAGTGAAATTATTTTTTTAGGAAAAATAGCATGCTAAACAGAATTGAAAAAGAAGTGCTAGAAAAAGCATTTACCTTATAAAGGATTTCTAATTCAGACATAATCTGTTTCTGAAGTTCTAGTGTAATATCTAAAGGAATCACCTGGAAATAAACATTAATATTAAATTATTAATTTCGCTACAGAAAATCAGGCAGCACTCAGCAAGAAACATTATTGTACCATTTTTTTTTAATGTATAAGCTCCAGTCTGCATCAAGAAAAAAAAATCTCACATGTTTTTGGTAGTACAGCTTTTGTCCTCATTGTTACTAAAATCAATGCCATAGCCCAGTCTTTCTCAACCTCAGCCATTTGAAGACTGGTGGACTTCAACTCCCAGAAGTCCACACATGCTGGCTGGGGAATTCTGGGAGTTGACGTTCAAGTGGCTGAGGTTGAAAAATACTCCAATAGTCCACCAGCAAGTGGTTCAAGGAGACCAATCTAGATGTAACTTGACTTTTGGTCCTTAAAATTACATCTCTTCTGAGTGAAGCTCGATTTTTGGCAACTTCATGTAGATGACCCTGTAGCCATTTTCTGGAATTTTCTTTGATTTCCCAGCTTAGTATTCCTGACAGGCACCCATCCATGTATGGACCAGACTCACACCTGCTTAGCTTCCAATCCCACACAAGATGCTGCCTTGTGCAAAACCCACCCTAATTATCCTACCATAGGGGGTCCTTAGTGGGCAGCCACCCAAAGAAATCTACCTCTCCTCGGCAGCCCATTTTTAATATGGAAATACATCTCTATAGCTTAATCACTTCAGAAATAAAAATACTTTAATCAGGGGTGTCTACAAGATAGGTTAAACAAAATATTGAGATGGTAGTCATGACCACTCAGTATAAGCCGCCCACCTTTTCAGAAGTATTGCAATAGATGCAAAAAAGGTACAATCAATTGTGCGTTTCCGGCCTAACCCACCTGTCGTTTTCAGCCTCTCTATGGCTGCCCTCAGACCTCTAACAACAGATATATTCTACTTCAGTATTATTATTATTTCCTCATAGGTTTGTACAGCAGTGTTTCTCAACTTTGGCAGCATTTAGATGTATGGACTTCAACACCCAGGCAGGCTGGGGAATTCTGGGAGTTGAAGTCCACATATCTTGCCAAGGCTGCAAAACTTTGCTGTATTTGATTGCAATTCTAAGGTATTTGATCATTTCATTTCATTCTACTGTGTTTTCCCGAAAATAAGACCCTTATATTTTTTTGAACCCTGAAATAAAAATAAGGTGCATGGCCTTATTGCCATACACTCAAAAGCCCTATTGGGCTTATTATCAGGGGATGTCTTATTTTGGGGGAAACGGGGTATGTATTTTATTTAATTTGTAAATAAGGGTTTCTTTTTCTCCTGGATCTGTTTCAGGGGTGATATGAAATCTTTCTGCCACAAGTGGATGATTTTCTTCTAGAAAAAAATTAGGGCCATCCCTGGAGCAGCAGATTCATGTGATCTGGAAGGAAAACAGAAAGTTCCTATCTTCTCCAGAACATTCTGTGTTCAGAAAGAAATGTTTTGCCCCTCCATAACTACAGCTAGTCCTTGACCTACAACCACAATTGAGCCCAATGTTTCTGTTGCTAAGTGAGACAGTTGTCAAGCGAATTTTGCCCCGTTTTATGACATTTCTTGCTATAGTTGTTATCACTGCAGTTGTTAAGTTAGTAACATGGTTGTTAAGTGAATCTGGCTTCCCTGTTGACTTTGTAAGTATGGGTCAGTTGCCAAGCTTCTGAATTTTGATCACACGATCATGGGGATGCTGCAAGGGTCATAAGTGTGAAAAATGGTCATAAGTCACCTTTTTTATTGCTGTTGTAACTTTGAATGGTCACTAAATGAACTGTTCTAAACCGAAGACTACCTGTATTACTTAAATGTATTTGTAGGACAAAATTATACCTGGAAACACCTGGAAACTCTGACAATTAGACTAGAAAATGTGAGGATGGACCCCACCTCCTCTGAGGGTTCTCTGTATATGCTCAAGAACCTTTCTCCAATCCTGAGGTAAACACTTCCCTCCCCCAAATGCCATCCCTGCCTGGCAAAAACAGGATCCAGACCTATATTTCTCAGAATCTGGATGGGAATTTCAGGATCAAATATACTTTGCAGATTCAGCACAGCCAACGCTCCGCTGCAGCTTGACTCCTAATGGAAATTTCTTTCAATCCCTTGCTCACATCCAGCTGATTTCCAAACCTACATTTTTAAAGTATTGATGTCTGTCTAAACAGGGGGAAAAAGTGCACAACCCATTTCTATCAAGAATTTGCTTTAGGGTTATTTATAAAAGCTGTAACTGTAATAGAAACGCTGCCAAGAAAACATTTAACACATTTCTCCAAATCAATAGTCATTTGCCAACAATATTCACTTACATTTTTTTTTCCTGGATGGAAAGCTTAAAACAAAGTAAACTGCTGGAACCGTTGTATCAATTTTACTCCTTAGAGGAGCAAGGAAAATTTAACCCTCTCCGGACTCTAAAAGAGGCCGTTTTAAACTCAAATGTTCCTTTTCACTTTAGCAACTTCAGCTTTCCTCAAGACAAGCTTGGCCACTGCAAAACCTTCGGCTGGATATTGATCACAGAAGGCAAATTCAGTATCAGCCAAGATAGGAAATGAAATAAGAAAGCCTGAAAGCTGCTGTAACTTACAGGTATATTGATTTTTAAGAACACGGCCCCATTTTGTATAAAATAGTGGGACAGGGCTGCTTCCCCAAATTATATATTTATATTGTATACGTCACACAATGTATTACAGGTACAGATCAGGTGAACAGAGGAATCTTGGAGTCCTAGTGGATAATAATTTAAATATAAGCCAACAGTGTGTGGCAGCCGACAAAAAAGCCACTGCAGTCCTAGGCTGCATCAACAGAGGAACAGAATCAAGATCACATGAAGTATTAGCACCACTTTGTAATGCCTTGGTAAGACCACATTTAGAATACTGCATCCAATTTTGGTCACCATATTATATAAAAAGTTGTTGAGACTCTAGAAAGAGTGCAGAGAAGAGCAAGAAAGATGATGAGGGGACTGGAGGCTAAAACATATGAAGAACGGTTGCAGGAACTGGGCCTGGCTAGTCTAGTGAAGAGAAGGATTGGCCGATTTCCAGCAAAAAACACACGTAAGAATACATTGATTCACTTAACGACTATAGCATTCACTGGGCGATGCCACATAAACTTAAGACTGGTGGGGAAAAAGTTATAAAATCAGGTCCGATCACATGAATTAACATTCATGACTGTCACGACTATGATAGAAATTCCAGGCTCCATTGCAGTCGTAAGTAGAGGACTGCCTGTAGGAGGTGGCTGAAAAGAGCAGAGAATTCAAACTGTGGTCTCAAATGATGTGGGCGACGTTTGCCTTTAAAAATGAAGCAAATTCTTCAACGTTTCCCAAAGTTTGCTAAAAATGTGCCTGTTTGGGATTACGCTGTTGGGAGTATTTGGACTGGCAGGCTCTGGATGCCCAGGCAGGCACCTAGCAGTCCATCTGAAAGTGGTTAAGAAACAGGAAATATAAATAAATATATTTGATTTTAATTACTTTTACTGGAGAAAGAGGTAATGGCTTCTATGAATTTGCATTAGGATTCAAATCCTTATTTCAGTTTATTATTTTAATGATGTAAAAGTGAATCAGGGGCAACCGAAGCAGGGTTAGGAAAAACAGGCATCTTGTCTCCGAATTTAAAATGCCCTGATGCCATCGTCTCTCTTAAATAACCCCCAGGCCACAGAAAAGGGGCTTCTCAAGTCGGATTTCACGGAGAAAGGGTTAAGCCCCACCAGCAATACCTGAGCCATTTTCTCTGCTACACCTCCAGGACAAACAAGGATGAGTTGTCAAGTTAAATACAAGCACTCAAGTGACGGAATTATAATTTACTTGGTGCTCAATTTAAATTAGTGAGAGGCTATTAAAATATACAGTATAGCGATGGCAATTCATCATGGGCTGTCATGGATGACTTCATCTATTTGCCGGAGTTGCGTGTGTGCCACTAAAGGGAATGAGAGCAAAATCACAGGTCAAATTAAGCTGCAATTCCATTTTAATTCACTTATTTAATCTGCGGCAATATAATTGTCTTTTACAGTATGTACAACTCAGAGGAAATTTGGGAGTTCGATAGGCAGTATACAAATGATTAATCAAATGGACCATTTAAATGCTAGTTAAGAGCAGAAGAAACTCCCAGGAACTGCAGCCTGGCACACAGCCGCACTGCTCGCGATGCACAGGTTGGGCAGCCGGTGCTTCATTGCTGCAAGAAAGCCTCGGGCATACGTCTTGACCACGGCAGTGGGATGGAGGCCTTGGAGAAGATGGCCAGGACCTGTCACAAACCCACTTTTGGGGTTCCCCCCACCCTGACTTTTTTTTATTGCCATCTATAAATGGAAACAATTCGTTCCTCTGTCAAAGAGCCGGACCCAAGCATATGCAACAGGGAACATTTTAAAGGATTTAGAGACATTGGCAATCAAATGCAAGTAGCCCTCGACTTACGTCCTTTTGTTTAACTCCTTTTGTGCTTTTACGTCCTTTCGTTCAGTTACACTGGTATAACTTGTCCTCAAAGTTACAACCATCGCACTATCCCCACGGTAACATGATTGCAATTTGGGTGCTTGGCAAACGGCTTGTATTCGTGATGGTTCCAGTGTCCTGCGGTCATATGATCATAATCCCAGCTGGCTTCCAATAAGCAAAGCCCAATATTTACATTTTGTTCTCACCACCCACTGGGGCACAAACATGGGAGTGATCAGAACTCTACACCGCCGGGCTGAAGGTCTGCCTACCAGCAAAGATGGAAAACACATTGATTCTCTTCTTTGTCTGTTATGGAGGAGCTCCTGCTGGGCTTTTTTTGGATTTGATGAAGGCCCACTTGGGGTAGCCACAAGTTCTGAGGGCTTCCTTGATATGCTCTTTAGCTCTTTCTCTTTTCCACCTTTGCCGGTAGAAAGACCTTCAGCCTGATGGTGTAGGGCTCTGATGACTCTCCTTTTGTATTCCAGTGGGTGGCGAGAATCAAAATGTAAATATTGATCTGTGTGTGGGGTTTTCTGTAAACTTCAGTGTTAAGGCTTCTGTCTTCCTTAATGTGGACTGCACAGTCCAGGAAGGCCAGACTATTTTCCTTAACATCTTCCCGTAGGAACTTGATGCATCTGTCCACAGAGTGGATGTGTTTGGTGAGGGCTTGCAATTCCTGTTTTAATCTTGATCCAAGTATCGTCCACATACCTATACCAGTGAGTGGGTGGGATTCCTGTGAAGGAGTTTAGGGCTGTGGTTTCTACCTCTTCCATGTGGAGATTGGCCACAATGGGGGACACAGGGGAACCCATGGCACAGCCGTGTTTATTGTCTGTAGAAACCAAAGCAACTGCCTCAAATTTATTTATTTATTTATTTATTAGTCCAATTTATATGCCGCCCTTCTCTGTAGACTCAGGGCAGCTCACAATGCATTATAGCAACAGCCTGCATACTTTTTTGTATGTACCTGCTTATTAGGGCTTTCCCCCCCCCCCCCAAGCGGTGTTGTTCTATACAAAGTTGGCTTATTGCCCCACAACCCGAGTCCTCAATTTACCTACCTCAAAAGGATGGAAGGCTGAGTCAACCTTGAGCCTGGTGAGATTTGAATTTGCACTAATTGCAGGCAGCTGGCAGCTAACTGCTAGCACTTAACAGCACTTTAACAGCACTTTAGTCCACTGCACCACCGAGGCAAATTTATGATGGTTGGTGTGTTCTGGGACCACATAATCACCTTTGGCGACCTTCTGAGAAGCGAAATCAATGGGGAAGCCAGATTCACTTAACAACCAGGTTACCAACTTACCAACTGCAGTGATTCACTAAAAATGTGTCAAGAAAGGTCATAAAATGGGACAAAATTCACTTAACACAGAAATGTTGGGCTCAATTGTAGTTGTATATGCAGTAAAAATATTTGGGGATGGTAAAAAATTAATGTTTAAGAGGAAGCAATTTTAAGAAGAATTTGTTGTTCTACCAGAACATCACAATGGAGGAGAAGAATTTGACAGGCAATTATTTGTAATTCTCCATCAGAAAGAGGCTGGAGAGACAGGAATCAGCTCTGGAGCAGGCCTAAAAGCCTGAGCTTCCATTCTTAAAGCATTTAAGAGTCTTAATTTTTGAATTCAATCAAGAGGAAAGAGAAGAAACCACAATTTAACAATCTAAGATGAGAAAATTTATGAGATATATGGAGATGCTGACTTCAGATAGTTAAATAATCACACCATCAAATTAAAAACTGCACTGAAGAAAGGCCCCCTGAACACTTGTAGAGAATCTGTAGCTTTTTAAAAAAAAAATGCTAATATAAAGCCACCATTGTCAGGTCTGCAATAGATTAAAAGTCTTTCCTGCCTGTATTCCTCTCAGGACCAAGTTGTACAACCAAGAAAAAGGAGAAGAGATTGCTTTGTACTTATAAATTGTGCCCTTCAGTCTGGATGTGTTTTCGTTGCAAAAATTGGCTTCACGCAATAAAGTCCTGGAAAAAGAAGACTGGGGCAGGGGAATCTTTTAAAGCAGATTTGTGAACAAACTTACCTTTACGGCTAGTATTTTCCCACTGGGGACGTGGTTTGCTCTGCATCCAAAGAAGAAGACAGTCAGTTTAAAGCAAAGAAAAATCACGGTCATATTTTAAGTTTTACGTGATGCTTGTTAAAGTTTCTAGCTAATGGCATCCCTGAGCAATTGAAGTTGTATGCTTGGGTGATATATGCAACAAGCCCAGTTCCAGTGAACAACAAACAGCCACAAAAATCAATCCTGATGAGTTATCAATCCTTGATAAGTGTGACTTATCAAGCTGAATAAAGCCTATCAGGCATGTGACACGCTTGGCTAACAACTCCTTGAGTCTCCCATTCCTGTTGCCTTTCCAGAACAAATGGCCCAGGAAAGGCAGACCTGACATACTTCAGCACAGAAAGTGAGGACCGGCGTTAGAAATTATCCTGGCTAGGCTAGTTCTGGGCCATCAGGACATGTTGTGTCCATAAGACAGACCTCTCTCAGCACAAGGGAATGCCCAGAGAGCCAATCGGATGTGCTTGTGCTCTCAAGCTGAATCACGGAATCCAAATTGGAAGTGGCCATTGAGGCACTCAAGTTAAACTCCCTGCTTTGCGCAGGGATCCAAATTACAGCATGCCAGACAGATGCTGGTCCTGCGTCTGCTTGCACACATCAAATGATCAGGAAGCCATCACCCCTTGGGTGCATCATCAAACCATTCTTGTGGCTGGGAATTTTTTTGGCTACAGTTCAGCTGAAACTTTTTTCCCCTGTAACTTAAAATAACTTTCACGTCCTTCACTCTGGAACAAGAGAGAGCAAGTCCTGACCTCCCTTTGTGAAGGATCCTTTCAGGCATTGGAAGAGGGCTCCCCAGCCCTGTTCCTCCTGAAGGATAAGCATCCCAGCTTCCTAAGACACAACTTCTGCTCCTCTCCTGATCCTCGTTTCTCTTCTCTCAACCTCTTTCAAGTTCTCAGAAGCATCTTGAAATGTGGTTGGTGCCCAGAAGCGCCTACAGTACTCAACATAAGCCCCGGAAAAAGGTGAATAAAATGGAATGATTTCTTCACACAGTGCAGAAACCACACATCTTGGAATGGTATTGGATCATTTTTGCAGTTCGATTATCTTACTGACTCCATTCAGTCAGCTACCATCCAAAGCATCTATTGGAAAGCTATGTATTCTCCGTTCCAGCTATGGGGAAGCTATGCGTCTGACTTCTGCCCTTTAAGGAATTTTAAAAAGTATCTTCCTCTAAAAAATATTGCACAGAGAAAAAAAATTACCGGTCTTCACAAATGGAATTTTAGCGTTAAAAATTAGCAGTCTGTTAAGTAAATCCTAAAACACACCGTAAGAAAAATGATTTCAGAGCCAGAGTGAAGCTTCCTCAAGGGATTACTGAGAGGCTGATGGTGGAGAGAGCAGAGTCCTTACATCTGAGCAGGTAAAATGAACCCTAAACTATGAACGGCGGCAAAACATTTTGACTTTCAGATCAGCAGAACGATAACAAAACAGGCTGCTGCGATAGCTTCGTGCTTAACGTCTGTTAGCTTAATATGTCCTGTACCGGGCAGTTTGGCAACTTAATTAGCTTGTCAAGAAAGCCGATCCTTTCGCCCCCCTCCTTCGTCTCTGAGGGGGAGGGGTGGCCTCTTGTTTTCAAGTGAATTAAAAGGAAAGACTTGATGATTTAATTATGATGCACGCCAAGTCATCCGTGGAAGTTTGGGTTAAATTTCCAGCCAAGAGCAGTACCTGGTTTGGTTTACAGAGCATTGACACTAGCAATTTAACATTTAATTATCATTGTGGAAAGGATCACAAAGCGGATACGGTGCCCGTGGGGCGCAGAGCACCCCTGGATTCTGCAAGCACCACAACTTGCTGGAAGAAGAAAGTAAATGGGCTTATTCCAAGCCACCACGACATTCACCGCTGTCTTGACCTTCTCCAGCGCATTATCCGTAAAGTGATTAATGGAGTCTGAATGGGAACTTTGGTTACTCGGAAAGAAAACTGGACACCTTAGCAAGCCTTTAATTAACAGCAAACCCTTCCAGGTCGGCTGCAGCTCCTGCAGTAATTACCTGTCCCAATAAACTTGCTGGAAAACACATTCAGCCCTAACCGAAGGACCAGAAGTTGATGTTGGCTGTTTAAATTATGAACGTGCTCTCATGGTTCAACTACCCAACCCAACTTAGCATTGCCCAGAAGACTGCTCTGGTGCAGCAATCCCACGCCACTGGCTTCCTGCATTGGCTTCAAGATCAGAATATAGAATAATAGAGTTGGAAGGGACCTTGGAGGTCTACTAGTCCAACCCTTGCGTCAGCAGGAGACCCTATACCACGCGTGTCAAACTCTCGGCGTCACGTTGCCATCACGTGACATTTTGTGACTTTTTTCCTCCATGAGCTGGAGTGACACATCTGGCCCGCCGGCCGCCAGTTTGACACCCCTGCCCTATACCATTCCGGACAAATGGCTGTCCCATCTCTTCCTAAAACGCTCTAGTGACGGAGATGGCTGATGATCCAGTTATGGAGACCTACAGATACAAGGGGGTGGATGTGCTGTTTCCCCTGGCAAAGCAAGTAGTGACAAGAGTTTCAGAGCCTTGTTGACGGTCGCAACCAATGGAGCTGCATGGCTGATACAATTTTGGATGATTTCTATGCCTGCAGTATTAATACAGCCCCTCCTTGAGGGAGATGGGCCATCTAGAAACATGAAATCATAATATAATATAATATAATATAATATAATATAATATAATATAATATAATATAATATATATAATATAATATAATATAATATAATATAATATAATATAATAAATAATATTATAATATAATATAATAATATAATATAATATAATATAATATAATATAATATAATAAAATAAAAAATAAAATAAAATAAATATCATATCATATCATATCATATCATATCTCATATCATATCATATCATATCATATCATATCATATCATAGTACTATATCCTTGGTGAACCTTCTGCAAGCCAACCACCAAGCTCACACAGCACTGACAATCTGAGCTACAGATATTTTCTGTATACCCTGAGTTACAGGTATTTTCTTCTACTGGAATATTAATATGATGAAAATATAATTTGTGACAACTATGGACTGATTACTCCAAGAATATAAAACCCAGAAAAGGTGAACAGATCCTTTGAGTGAATGTGGGGTATAAAATAAATCACTCCCACAAAGAAAGCAGACCTTCTTTGAAATTAGAAGGGCATCTTCCAGTCCCTGTTCCTGTGAATCTCATTCATTCAATTCATTCATTCATTCATTCATTCATTCATTCATTCATTCATTCATTGCCAATGGCCACCCATCTTACCACAAGGTAACTCCTGGTTTTGGAATCAAGAAAAATGGGGAGCTTTCCTGTTTCCACAAAGCATTTTGTGGACGGGGCACCCAGACATGAGAGTACAGCTCAGATAGGATTTTTAAAATTCCTTTCTTAGTATAAACCAAGCTTAAGAAAGACAATTTCCCCCATCAAGAAAATAACAGCACAGAATTCTCTTGCCAAATGCTACCTATCGGGGTTCGTTATGCTTTGCCTTTTCTGCAAAGAAAAGAACCAGGTGAAAAGAACAGCTTTCAGCAGCACTGGCACAATTGTGTCAAATATTTTATTAAACTTGACTACTGCGCACGTCTCCAGACACTTGGCATCCTGGAGGGACCACTGCCCGTTTGGCATCCCTTGGAAAACTCAAAGGCTTCTCTGCAGGGCCTTCTGACAAAGCCGTGTGCCCAGACGTGGTAAGAGAGCTATTTTGGGCATTGAAAGACAGACGGTGTGATCAAATGAATGCACACTTCATGTGAGCAAAACCTGCCACATCTCCCCTCCCCTCCCCTCAACCCTGATAGGAAAGTTACAACATGATATATCCGCAAACATAACTGGTGAAATAGACAAGCTGCCGAAAGCTTTTTTACTTCTAGGGTTTCTACTGCAAACTCTGCCCTGAAAGGCCAAGAACGTTGGTGGCTTAGGACAACCTCGGTCCCTTGAAGATGGGTGGACTTCAGTGCTGGCTGGGGAATTCTGGGAGTTGAAGTCCACACAGCTTCAAGGAGCTGAGCTTGAGAAACGCTGGTTAGAAAAACCATCAGCCTGGACTTGCAGGTAGTCCTCGACTTACAACAGTTCTTTTAGTGACTAGCAATGGCACTCAAAAAGTGATTTATGATCATTTCTCACACTTACGACTGCTTCCATATGGTCACGTGGTCAAAATTCAGACGACACATTGGCAACCGACTCACATTTATGACCGTTACAGTGTCCCAGGTCCATGTGATCTCCTTCTGACAAGCAAAGTCAATGGGGAAGCCAGATTCATTTAACAACCGTTGCTACTAATTTAACAGCTGCAGTGATTCACTTAAGAAATGTGGCAAGACAGGTCATAAACTGGGGCAAAACTCACTTAACAAATGTCTTGTTTAGCAACGGAGATTTTGGGCTCAACTGTGATCGTAAGTCGAGGCCTACCTGCACTTCCAGGACTGGGGTAAAAGTTGGGTGCTTCTTTAACCAGCTTATTGAAAGCAGGCATGAGGGAGCAGTGGGCCAAAGCCCCCCACCCCCAATTAAAGCTTATTCTTCTTAAATGAAGGGCCAGGGAGCATCGGTGGATCTTAAGCCCCAACATTTGGAACACAAAGAATGAACGAGAAGAAGGAAAAGGGTAGCTGTGGAGGCCTCTAGCAAGCTAAGACCCCTCCAATCGTCTCCAGCATTTGCTCTGGATGCCACTCTATGGCGGGCAGCTGTTGCCTTGGCTCCATGAAATGTTCCTCCCTGAAAGCCCTCCGTGCTCAGAAACCCCTGAATCTGACACACATGGAGCCCGGCCCTGCCAAGTCCGAGCGGAGCTTTAGTGGAGGGAAAGCTCATCAATCTCGTTCAGGAGATGTTCAGTGTCTCTAAACATTACACATTGTGCAAAGACAGGAGGGTCACCAGCTGTAGATGACCTGCAGCAAACCATACCCAGAC